AACTCCAGGGACAAAGTGACCACTGCAGACCAAGAGCAGGGGCGGGCGGCGGTGAGGTCCTCAGCAAGTGTCAGACCGAGAAGATGGGGACACCACGAGGCCTGTGGTCCCGCAGAGAGCTCGCGTCCCTCACCTCCGCCCAGCCCCAGTCGCCCGGCTCACCTTGCCGGCCTTCCCCCAGGGCCAGGGACACCAGCGCCAACGGCCAGGCGACGCCAATCATGGCTGGGCTCCTGGGTGGGGGCCCAAGTGTCACCGCGCTCCCCCTGCCGCTCTGCCTTCAGTCTTGGTGACAGGCAGGCTTTGCTCGGCTATGTGAGGAACCGATCCCGCGGCAGCTCCGCGACTCCTCCTCCTTCCAGCTCCCGCGGGGGGACCGCCAGCTGCCACCGCCCACCTGCAGGAACGCACGCGCCTGTCCGTCAGAGGCCCAGCCCTGGTCCCCGACTTTGCATGTCATTTCTGCAGTTGCAGAGCCGGGGTGGGGGGCAAGCTCTGGAGGTAAAAATTGCCACCTCGAGTCGCAGCGCTGTCTTCACAAGTATTTGGGGAGCACTCGCCAGTCCTTACTAATCCTGGAAGGCCTGGTGGCATCGTTGGGCTGCTAACCCCAATGTCAGCAGTTCAAAGCCACCAGTCGCTCAGTGGGAGAAAGACTAGGCTTTCTATTCCTGTAAAGAGTTACAGTCTCAGAAACAGACAGGAGCGGTTTAACCCTGCCTTCTAGAGTCACGGTGAGCCTGGACCTGGTCACGCTACTGAAGGGACCGTTTATGCAGCCATAAAGCACACCCATAAGTGGCGCTGTGGGGGGTTAATGAACTGGCCATTTGGCCAAGTAGACCCTATTCAATCACGATTGTTTGGTTTGACTATTTTCAGAGTAAGAAAATCGATAGGTAGGTTCCATAACTTTCACAAGATGATAATCCATTTGCTGGAAGGACCAGAACAATGTTAGCTGCTTTCCTTCCCAAGATTCTGATGACTCCCAAATGTAATCAATCATTTACTTGAAATTGGTTATAAAGATTGGACCTGAAAATAACTGCAGGAAAGAGGATAGGGTAGTGCACTGGTAATTAATACAATAAAATTCATATTAAAAATTAATGAAAGTTTATTGAATATGTTGCTGTCAGATGGCGAGTCAGTTCTGACTCATAATGACCCATGTACAATGGAATGAAACACCGCCCAGTGCTTGGGCATCCTCATAAACGGTCTTATGTTTCAACCTGTCTTTGCAGCCACGGTCCATCAATCCATCTTATCAAGGGTCTTCCTTTTGTACTGCCCCTTTACTTTATCAAGCACGATATCCTTTTCCAAGAACTAGTAATCATTTTGATACAATTTTCAAATCAGGGTTAACATTTCAACTACAGAGTCAAAAATTATCAAAAGACGGGAATTCCAAAGTTTCGGGTTTTGTTTTGTTATTGTGATTTGAGTGAAAGTTTACAGAGCAACTTGGTTTTCCATTCAACAATTCGTATATATTTTGATTCTTAACATTCATCTTAATCCCCATACTGTAACAGAGTTCTTCCCACTTCCTCCCTGTGTTTGTTTCTTCATGCCTTCTGAGCTTAGCATGGGCAGACGCTACCCTTTCAATGTCCTGTAGTTGGTTGTTCTAAGGAGAATATACTTCCCTGCGCTTATTCTTCACTTAATTGTCTGGTGTTGGACTAAAAGTAGAGCCACAGGTTGAGTTCAGTTCTAGGCTTGAAGGCCTATTGCCTTGGGGGGTTGTCTACCAATCGCTGTGAGTCCAGTAAAGCCTTGTCTTTTTTTTTGTGGTTTTAAAGCTTGTTCTATATTTTCTCCCACTCTCTCTAGAACTTCCCACTTTCAAAGCCATCAGCAGTGGAAACTGGACCCCTTCTAGTTCTTCGGGTCTCAGGGCAGTAGGAGCTGGTGTTAGCATTGCCTATCGGTAAGTCAATGGCATAGCGGACTGCACACTGTACTGATAACCACCGTTGTTGACTCAAAAGGGACTTAGAAGCCCGTATATTCAAGGTTTAAGAGAAGATCCACAGAGTCCAGGTGTACGGATTCCAGAACTAAGATTGCCCCACATCATAAATCCCAACACATAAAATTTGTCAAATATTTCCTGTCTTTAAATCTCATTCACATGCTGAATTTTATCTTTTATTCCTTCTTTTCTTTTAAGTAACAGTATTTGTCAAAACACCCGAAATTATCATCCCAATATATTTATTGTGAGTAGATATTATTTGAATCAAACAGTGTCAACCTAAAAGTATCAGGAAGTTACATCCTGGAGTTGATAGTGATAATGGGTTATATGTGAGAGTAAGTGAAAAAAGTATTGCTATTGGGATTTCAGTTCACACATAAACAGGTTTATTCCAAACACGGGTTTGGATGTGCTTCTGTGTTCAGTGGATGGCTGCAGAAAATGCACTTGTCTCCCAGTCTTATTAGGGTGCCTGCGAAACAAGGTCTAATCAAAACAGTGGCCTCCTGGGGGAGAAATTCATTCAAGGCACAGAGATAAATTCAAGCTCATAAAGTTATGAAGACTGTTTTGGGGACCTCAAAGGGATAATCTTGATAAATTTTCTTGAAGCACACAGGACAATCGTGGGAGCTTATTTGGAAGAAAAAAAAAGTTTTAAGAGAATTGAAAACTGCATTGGCGGGGGAAAAAAAGTCAGCACAGTTGTGCTAGGACCTTTCCCCATCCACTCTGCCCCCATCAGGACAATGCACCTGCTCATTCTTTGAGGGCTGCAAGGGTTATCTTATGAGAATTGGGTTGAGAAAACTTACCCCACCCACCCTACATCCTGATCTTGCCCCATTTGGACTTTTTCACTCAAGATTCGAGCCAAAACTGCTGTTTTGACATGGTGAAAATCAAAGAGGATAGAACTTGAGGAAAGTTTAAAGAGATGAAACCACTGCCTTCAGTGGTTTAGAGTTTAGGCCGACATGGAAGATACTTTTTCTTATTTAAAGCCAAAAAAAAATAATTCACAGAGATATTGGTACCCAGTTTATTATTGTTGACCCCTATTTCCTTAATGGCACATTTTTGCTTCTTAAAGCATCTTTCTAAGTCATAGACTTCTAGTATTTGGTTTATTTTTAGTAAAAAAAATTTTTTAGTTCTTTTTTTCCCCATTGTTTAAAATTTTATTCTTTTAAAAATCATATATAATTAGCATAACTGCAGTTTTTGAATCCCCCTTATTTTAATCTATCTTTAATTCTACCTAAAACAATAATTAAGTATTGTTCTTATTTAGTTATATAATATATATGTTTAATCATTGCATTGGGGGCTGATACAATGCTTTTCACAATCCATACATACTTCCATTGTGTCCAGCACATTTGCACATTTGTTGCCATCATCATTCTCAAAACATGTGCTTTCTACTTGAGCCCTTGGTATTAGCTCCTCATTTTCCCCTCCTTCCCTGCTCCCCTCCTCTCTCATGAACCCTTTATAATTTATCAATTATTATTATTTTTCATGTCTTAGACTGTCCAACATCTCCCTTCACCCACTTTTCTGTTGTCTGTCCCCCAGAGGGGAGGTTATATGTAGATTCTTGCAATCGGTTCCCCCTTTCTACCCTACCTTCGCTTCACCCTCCCAGTATTGCCAATCTCGCCACTGGTCCTGAGGGGTTTATCTGTCTTGGATTCCCTGTGTTTCCAGATCCTATATTTACCAGTGTACATCCTCTGGTCTAGCCTGATTTGTAAGGTAGAATTGGGATCATGATAGTGGGTGGGGAGGAAGCATTTAAGAACTAAAGGAGAGTTGTATGTTTCATCATTGCTACGCTGCACCCTAACTGGCTCATCTCCTCCCCGTGACCCTTCTATAAATGGATGTCCAGTTGCCCACAGATGAGATTTGGGTCCCCAATCTGCACTCTCCCTCATTCACAATGATATGTTCTTTTTTTTCCTTGATGCCTGACACTTGATCCCATCAACACCTCGTGATCACACAGGCTGGTGTGTTTCTTCCATGCAGGCATTGTTGCTTCTCAGCTAGATGGCCACTTGTTTACCTTCAAGCCTTTAAGACCCCAGACACTATATATTTTGATAGCTGGGCACCATCAGCTTTCTTCACCACATTTGCTTATACACCCATTTGTCTTCAGCGATCATGTCAGGAAGGTGAGCATCATGGAATGTCAGTTTAATAGAACAAAGTGTTCTTGCATAGAAGGAGTACTTGAGTGGAGACCCAATGTCCATCTACTACCTTAATACTAAACCTATAAATATATACACATAGATTTATTTCCCCATCATCATAAATAAGTACATTTACATATGTACATACTTGCATCTAGACCTCCACAAATGACCTTACTTCCTAGTTTTTGCCTCTATGTCCTTTTACTTTCCTCTTGTCCCACTATCATACACAGCTGTCATTTGGGTTTCAGTAATTCCTCTCGGTTACATTATTCTTGCTTAAGCTCTACCAGGCCTCTGACACCCTCCTCGCCACCGATTTTGGACCACTTGTTGTTCCCTTGTCCCTGAGTTTATTAACATTACTTCCTTTCCCCCACGTCCACCTTTCCCATGTCCCCTGGGAACCATCAGTCCATTGTTTTCTCCTCCAGATTGTTTATCTAGCTATGCTCCCTTCTTGATTCGCTCTATTTTGGGGGTTTCAGACCGCGTTGCTTCCCCGCCCCCATGTGACCCCAGAAATGTCCTCTGTCGCAGTCTGCTCCATTAAGAGAGCGTGACACATGCGGTTGTCATTTGCCCTGTCCCCACTGTGTCCCATTAGCTCCCCACAGGGACGTCATCCTCCAAGCCTGGTGTGCCAGTGTGGGGTCCAGTCTGGCTCTCTTCCTCTTCCTGCCTCCCCGCCTGCCTCTGTGTGGGTGGGCATGCTGGCTCCTCTCCCCAACCTATAGGTTCAATTCTGCTTACGCCACACCCACTTCCCAGGAGGAGGAGTTCTTTTTTTTTTTAATCATGTTATTGGGGCCTCATACATACATTCATTGCGTCAAGCACATTTGTACATTTGTTGCCATCATCATTCTCAAAACATTTTCTTTCAACCTGATCCCTTGGTATCAGGTCACTTTTTCCCACTCCCACCTCCCTCATGAACCCTTGACAATTTATAAATTATTATTTTTTCATGTCTTACACTGTCCGATGTCTCCTTTAACCCACTTTTCTGTTGTCCGT